TTAATTTTTTAATTACAGATAAAATTTATTATCTACTAGAGAATTCGATCACCCAGTTTTTTTAACATAGAGTTTCAGACCACATAGAGAGACCTTATGAACTTTAACTACTAGTATTTAATACTTAGACTTGCTATTTTATTTAGATTATGCGGCTTGATTGTTTTCATTAAATGAACTCTGAATACCTTCATAATAGCTTTGTCTAATCTACATTTTCAAACATTGAGGTACTTGTAGTGTAGTTGTGTATTCACAGAATGATCAAAAACTCAGTTGCTCTGCATAACCTGTAGTTATCAGCTAAAAGTGGCTAAAATATTTTAAACATTTAAATTCATCATTGTTAAAAGGCGTTCTTTTAAATATTTTATAATTTTAGTTTACAGACATTTATTACCCAGATATCTTCAACATTCTTCTCAATTATGACTTTTCTTCAATCATTCAACACAATTCAGTTGACATATATGTCATTGTTTCTATATGGATATACTAAATTGGATTAGCTTACTAAAGATTCTGAAAATTTCGACTACATTAACGCAGTTGTATATGATTACTATTAAAAATTCAGATCTAGATCCTAATCAATGTATGATTGAAACTGATCTACGTTCTTAGCAGGTGCTACTTAATTTAACATTTTATCCAATTTGACCATTATGTCTTTACCCATTATAATGAGCACAACATAATCTGAATTAATAGAAAAATCTGTGCAAACATCGAATTCTAGAAGGTCGGGTATTTTGTTGGGATCTATTAGCGAATATAAGTCTTATTCACAATATTAGGGGATGCTGATTATTAGTGCATTTATACAGTTCTGTGCCTTTTTATTGAAATTCTTAATTTTAGTATGGAATTATATCCCTCACCTTGACTAAATAAATTATTGAAAAATGTATTATACACCTTACATCTTTTACAACTTGCATCTAATCTTCTAAATAATTTAGGCAACGAGAGCAAGACTCTTTTTGTTTTAAACATTTAATATTAGTAAGGTCAATCTCAGATCGTCGAAATCGTCGATATATCGAAAGAGTTTACTGCCATACAATATACTTTTATAGGTTCATATTGTTGGCATCAGTGCCTTTACACAATAGCGATTTTAATTTTATATCATAAAGTATATATATATCATTTATATTCTTTACATATTTATTTACATATTAACCTGATATTAACTATAACCAGCAATAGTGTTTTTTGCTCACTAGATTTCTGTCCAAAACTCTCTATTGCTTTCTAAATCTTCTTTTGAAGGTTTTGAAATGAAATGGTCTGTTTCTTGAAACCACACTCTTCTCTTTTCTAATTGTTTAGTATGAAGGTTGATATTTTTGTAGATTCATAGAAGAAAATTTGATAACTCCAGTTTGTAGATTCATAGAACTTTTGCTTTTAATATTTCTCTTAAAGGTTTCGATTTATCTTTTAAACTATATTAATGAAGGACAATATAGCATATAAGAGAGTCACAGTTTTCCTAATCCTATACTACCAATCCTATACTACCACTGCTATGTCTCCTATTGTTCTTCCGGCTTGCTATTGTTCTTAAACTTAATCATAATAATATTATAATATATATGAGAATGTATAATATTTTATACTTCAAATATAACCTTGCTACTTACTTTTCTAAGAGAAAAGCACTGCAAATAAAAGTGATAATTTATATTGATGGACTTGAAGTAAACAGTGGCGCTGCAATTGCCAAGGGCAATTATTCCAAGGGGCATGGCATACTCGGGACTTACTAACACAACTGATTTCAAAACTTTAGAAGAAATTTTATTTAAAAACGGAAAATAGTCGCATACATCTGTTATAGAATAAACTTATGTCATTACCTTGTCTGTATATTATCCTTAATAATTCCTGAAACCAATAGAACATTGCCAAGTAATTGCCAAGGGCAATTACTCCAAGGGGCATGGCATACCCGGGACTTACTAACACAACTGATTTCAAAACTTTAGAAGAAATTTTATTTAAAAACGGAAAATAGTCGCATACATCTGTTATAGAATAAACTTATGTCATTACCTTGTCTGTATATTATCCTTAATAATTCCTGAAACCAATAGAACATTGCCAAGTAATTGCCAAGGGCAATTACTCCAAGGGGCATGGCATACCCGGGACTTACTAACACAACTGATTTCAAAACTTTAGAAGAAATTTTATTTAAAAACGGAAAATAGTCGCATACATCTGTTATAGAATAAACTTATGTCATTACCTTGTCTGTATATTATCCTTAATAATTCCTGAAACCAATAGAACAGAACAAGCCATTGCATTTGAATACATTTGAATTAAAAATTATACGTGTTGTGTATTAATATCATAGTCTCCCATAGATCTGACGATTGAGAAATATTTAACTAGACAATCTTAATTTCAATCCGATATGTAGTCTTCTAAGTTAAGATATCAACTAGTGCTGATACACCCAACTTATCCCAACCTTACTGAAAAAGTCTTAGTAACTTGTCTTTCTCATCTACTTAAGACTGGATTTTAAAAAACTTATATTACAAGCATCTATATATTTATATAGATCCTTTCAATAAATAAAACATATGATTTTATTATATCGGTCTTTTTAGTTCCTTTT